CCCCCCACACACCCTTCAGCATTAACTCTGCACTGCAGCACCACTCTGAACTCTGCACACCCGAAAACACAAACCTGGAATATCAGCCTTTTGATATTATCATCTTTTCTCTCAGAGAATATTAGTACGCTTCAGTGACTAAGTCACTTTAAAGTATTAAACTCCTAGGAGTTAGTTTAACAGTTTAACAGTTTTACTAACTCGGACAACTGTAAAGGCCATGAGCCGCGACACACGGGGGAAATGTCTGCTACAACACAAAAACACAATGGTCCCTATCTCCAAGTACCATTTAACATAGCATTTCAAAGAGCTTCTTAAAATTAAAGATATGGTAAAAAAAGAAAATCAATTACATGTGAAGATCTTATCAATGTTAAGTGTTGTAAAAAATTGCATTGCGTTTCAAGGGGCATAGAGTTAACAGTAGAAAATAAAGTAAATAACAAAACAGTCTGTCTGGTCCAGAAGCATTTTCAGAATACTCTGAGGACCTTTTGGAGGGAGCGGTACGACCTAAAGTGGAAGTTAGAGCGGTGTGACGAAGAAGTCTGCAGGTTTCTGGTAGCTGTGTGCTGGCTGGCTGTGTGTCTGCATCTGCTGCTGCTGCTGCTGCTGGATGATCTGCCGGACCTCCTCCTCCAGCTCTGGCGGGATGATGAGCTGGTCGTCGGGGTCCGGCTGTGCGGGAGCGTTGAAGTAGCCCCCCTGCTTCCTAACGGGGGCGTCGGCCGCCTCCTCGATGAGGTCCTGGTTCCTCCCTTGACAAGCCACGGAGCCGTTAGCACGAGCCCTGCGGCCCAGGGTCCCCGACTGAGCCTCCCCGCTGAGGCAGGGCGAGGAAGGAGGGACGGGGGAGGGGGACGGCAAGGAGAAGGGAAGAGGCGAAGGTGAAGCCACAACAGGAGGGATTTTTGTGCTTGGTGTAGTGTGCGTTTGGGGGGCTGTGCAGCCATGGCGGTGGACGTCAGCCTCCACCTCGACGCGGCTGCCGTTGGAGAAGACCCCGGCGATGGGCTCCTCGTCCTCGCTGTCCACCCCGTGGTCCGACAGAGCTCCGGAGAACTGCCTGTGGAAGCTGCCTCCTCCACAGGGCGGCCTGCGAACGCCGGCCCGCCCCGGCAGGTTCAGGTGGGAGGGGAGGGGCTCTGCTTGGGGCGGGGGCTCCTCCGAGGACGCGGTGGACCCCACCTCGCTGCTCATCTCCGACGTGCTGAACTCGCTGCTCAGCTCGCTCACTGTCCCAGAGGAGGCGGGGGGCAGCGGTATGCCATCACTGCCCACTGAGTAGGGGTGAGTGCTGGTGTGCACCCCCGGGCCCGGGCTGGGTGGAGGGGGCTCGGGCTCGCAGAAACAGCAGCAGTCCTCCGTGATGCTGAGCTGCACCACCACAGCGCTGAGGCTGTCGGAGCAGCCGTAGCTCTGAGCCAGGGTCACCAGCTTCTTAGCAGCAGCCAGAGCGTCCGGGACATTCCGGACCGCCTCCACCGCCTCGCTGGGAGACAACATGTCCCATAATCCCCGGCTGCCCAGTAGGAAGAACTCGTCCTGCGGGGTGAGGGTAACCGTGGAGACGTGCGGTCTGGGTGTTACGGAGGGGCACAGGAAGGAGTAACCCATGATCCTGGTGGAGTCAGTCACACCACTCACTTTGTTGTCCTGCAGGAAGGGGGGAAAGGGCTGTTAGGTAAATCAATGACGGCATTGCAACTGTAATGTGTACGATGTTATCACTTTATTAATACGAAAATGAACCAATCATCAATATTTTATGAAACTGCTCAATCTGCAAATGAGTGTGTCTTTACCTCGGTGATGATGGCGTTATGCTGCCGGACCCTCAGGTACTCGGGCTCCTCTTTGACAGTGTGTGTGGTGGAGAGTTGCATAGCTTTACCGTCGCGGCACAGAACCGCCTGGCACCGGCCCACGTTGGCGGCCTTCAGGGTGAAGCAGCCCCCGCGCTCGCCCGGAGCCACCGGGTCATGTTTGATGTGACACAGAGCGGCCGAGCCCCCCATCCTCTGACCCGCTGTGCCCAGTTTCCTGCAGCAGAGCAACGCAGAAACTCTTAGTGAGGAGTGTGTATGATCTTTGTTACGGCTAACAACTGAGGAAGAGTTCACGTTTCTACTCCTGTGTGCTGCTCGGGGAATATTTCAGCATCAGAATCAGGTTTATTGCAAAGTATTTTTACACTTAAAAGGGATTTGCAGTGGCAAAACAGGATGCAACAGAAAGAGGAATTACGTTTTATAATAGGGGCGAATATAGAACTATTTGTTTATTTATTAAATTAATAAACAGGGACATTCCGTATTAATAAACAATTCTGTAATCGGTAAGAAGCTATTTGACATCTGCCGTCTCAGGTCAGATGTTGCAGAGTAAAAAGAATATTTGAAAGAAATGTAATAAAATCATAAAAAAAGCTTAACAGGGCTCACAATACAGGAATTGCGGATAAAAACAAATAAAACATATGTATTACAATAATTCACAAAAACTATTATAAAAGAAAACATGTTTACAAGAAACGTATATATACGAACAAGTAAGCACATTTGAGAAATGATAGTAGTTATAAGCTGTGTACCTTTGCATGGTGAGGAAAGTGTTGGTCATGTAGTCTTCCTGCCTCTGGCCCCTGTGCAGCTCCTCTGCCAGCACGTCTCCCATGGTGCACTGCAGCAGGTAAGGCACCTCCACGTTCTTGTCCCCGTCGAACACTCCGTACAGAGCCTCACGGATCCCACAGAAGCTGTCCAGGGCCAGAGCTGCCACACACAGCCTGAGAACAACAAGAGGGTTATGTACACAATCCTGCCACAATATATGACTGAATATAAACAACCCTGCTTTCCTTTCATTCTGCCTGCTTGGTTTCAGTCTTAATAACATATCTGGATTCAGCACACTATAGGCGTGAAAGATACGACTGTAGCACTGCAGTGACTTTCATACCTAAAAAGTAAAATATGGTTCATTACTTACATCTGAATTTAATTGTATCTCCTTTTGAGCTTTAGGGATTTGGATCTCTTGTCTATGTTCTGCTCTTCAAACTTCATATTCTCCAGGGACAAGCATGATGTCCAAGGTTAAAGACTAAAAATAATCGTATTGACGGTTTAATCCGTCAGATCTGCTGACCCAAAGTGTCTAAAGCTTTGCTGTCCAGGCTAAAAAAAAACATCAAACTGTTTAGCTGCAGCCCCATACAGCCGAGTAAGAGCTTTTCAACTATTTTGGAAATGCTTATTTTCTTACATTTTCATTATAATTTAGTCTTATGCAGTTTTTTATGCCTTCACAGGACTTTTATTTGATTTATTTCATTACTATTGTTTTTCAGAGAAGTGTGTGTGTATATCTAAATAAACGTGAAGTGCACATGGAGAGAAACAAAAATAGAAGGGGGGGGACTGACTTGTTTTTGACTCCAGAGGCCTCTGTGTAGCCGTGGCTCCAGACTGCAGGGGCCCCGTGGCTCTCGCTCACACACGGAGCTGAAGGGGATGGATCCACCCTGAAACATTTGATATTACTGCAGAGAGGAGAAAGAAAAGGGAAAGAGGCTCAGCCAGTTGCTTCTTCACGATTCAGTACATTTACTGTATTTGTTTTCATTATCATCACTACTGCAGGATCTAGCAGGCTCGTACTTGAGGAGCTCCAGGCTCTTGTGGTCCAGGTTGAGGCGAGGGTTGCCTGTGAGGTCCAGATCCTGAAGCTTCTGAGGAAGCGTCTCCGGCAGAGTCACCTCCGTCAGCTCGTTGCAGCTCAGGTCGACACACTGACGGATCAAAACAGAGAGAGAGACAGGGTCAGATCACAGGAGAGAGTATCTGTGGGTACCTTGCTTTTCAGTGTCATTTCTATTCATTGGATTGATTTACATCTGTTCAGTATCAGCAAAAGCAGGTTGCATCGTAGTTTGGGTTAAAAATGAAGGAAGAGATTAGGAGATTACGAAAGAGATTACAGGTTTTTTGATGTGCCCCAACCCCAATAAAGATAGAACGGGACAGAGGAAGACTTTTTTTTGGTCAACAGATTACAATGACTTTTCCAGTAGTTCCACAAGGTCCCCAACTAGGACCACAGTTCATTCTAATCTGATGGGGTGTATGTGAGAGATGTTGTTCTAGAAAGTAAAACACATTATGTAGTAGGGCTGGGTGATATATCTCAATATGTTAAGGCTTTAACGCTTTACACAATATGTATCTTAATAGTTGTTTTTTTAAAACAGCCCTGGCCCCTTGTGTTGATAGGCAGGCGAGTGTGCATAATGTAAACTTGATTTTTTTGTTTCTTTGTTGCGTGAGAGGAGAGAAATGCCTAAGCAAGCCTCATGCCGGCAGCTTTAAAAATTACAAGATCAGTTGTACTGTATTTTTGCTAGCAGTCATTTTATTCATGCTACGCAGATCTAGCCGCGATACATTCGATATATCGTCCACATATCGCCCACTCCCCTGTATGAACAGTATGTTTACATTCTTAAGCTCCAGAGGAACATCACAGATAAACGAGAGCAAAGAAACAGAGCCTATAACACCTTCATATATCACACTAACCTTGATCTCAGGCAGCTGGAGAACCTCGGGGAATGCGTTGATGCAGTTTGAGTGGGCGGAGAGTGTGTGCATACGCTGACAGCTGAGGATGGTGGTGGGAACAGCCCTCAGTCTGTTTCCACTCAGGTCCAGCTCCTCCAGCTGCTCCAAACGTGCCAGTTTACTGCAGGAGGAGGAGGAGGTACAGTTGTATCAGAGCACTACACACCACAAGTCATCTCTCATGTGACATAAACCTCATTCTGAAGCAAAGCTGTGATTATAACGTGATGTGAGATTCCTCTAGGATTAGGACAGCTCAGAAGCAAAGGAATGTGAGTTCACGTAAGCTTGTGTGTGTGTGTGTGTGTGTGTGTGTGTGTGTGTCGACAACCCTGCAATTAGGTGCATGTGATTGGTTAATGTTCTCGCAACCTGCTTCTTAGAGTGACAGTGTGTGCATGCGTTTCTTTTTTTATTTGCCCTTCAATGCAGCAAAACTAAAGGTAAAAAATGAAGTTATCATACATTAATGTTCCTCTTCTACAAGATCAGTTTATGTGCAGTTATTACCTGGCAGTAAACGTCTGCAGCTGGTTGTAGGCCAGGTGGAGCACCCTGAGGTGGCCGTGTCCAGTCAGCAGGGGGACACACTTGTCCGTCAGGCAGTTATTGGTCACATAGAGTTCCTCCAGGCTGCTGGAGTTGTCCTCTGATAGGCTGGCTGCAGGGAGGTTCTCCAATTTATTGGCTGACACGTTTAGGTACCGCAAGCTGTGAAGACATCCCAAAAGAGAATACAAACTTAATAATAATAATGAAAACACAAAAGAAAACTGACAGAAATAAATAGAGAAATGTTGAATACACAAAGATGAAAATAGACACGGAAACAAATAAAGCTAGAAAAGAAGAGGATGGATGTTGTGTGCACCTCTGTGCTTTGATGAACAGGTTGTGTGGGAGCTCCGTCAGATGGTTGTGTTGAAGGTCCAGGACCTCAAGCTGCGATCTCTCCAGTCTCTCAGCCAGCCGACACACCTGGTTCCAGCCTGCCAGCAGCTTCCTCAGGCTCCCACTGGACAGCAGCCTACACCACACACACGGGGGTAAAAAGTAAAGGATACATTTTTAAATGCTGACATTGAGTTGGAACATTTCTCAAAGCCACTTTCAGTATGTGTGAGCAACCCAGAAAAAAGCTACCAGGATCTGATTGTGTTTGAAGCCAACAGTAATTGTTGCCAAAGGCTGTAAACAGACAAGAAAAGAAACACTGCACTGGTGTAGGCGTTTTGCTACAGGTATCGATAACGGCCCGTCCACACACAGGCATGAAACAAATCTTTCAAAGCTTCGCCCATTCACTTGAATGGGGTGACGTAGAAGATTTTTAATCTTCGCCGAACTGCATTGTGGGGAGCGGAGCATGGCTTTCCAAGCATCGTGAGCATCAAAAGTTGAGCAATGTTCAACTTTTGATGCTCCCAATGCTTTCGAAGCTGGCATCAGCCAATCAAATCCCGTTTATGCAAATCCCGCCAGTACAAGCGCTAGCCAATCAAACCACGTGCAAGCTGGGAGAGCCAGACCGCAGTTCATTTCCTCATATTCCAAACGAGAAATTACGGTAGCAAATCACCCGGTTCTTTACGACCAGAACTATTTANTTACCTCCCCTGAGCTCCATAAAGAAACCGTGCTGTACCACTGGCACTAGTTTACCTCCCCTGAGCTCCTTAAAGAAACCGTGCTGTACGCGCAGCGTCGAAAAAAGGCGCGGCTTATAGTCCGAAAATTACGGTAAGTGGTTATTTTCTACTTTGAGTAAGGTATAGGAACACTTCTTCCACCATTGACCACAATTATGACTTATTTACATTCTATTTTTTTTTTACATTTCCTATATATTTTCCAAAATAGACGAGTCCTGTTGCACAAACAAAAGAAACTACAACCATAGAAATAGGGTGGGGGAAGGATTACAGAATTAAATTATTCAATGCATGGGTTTCTATTTCTATTATTAAATAGTTTACTCCAAAACATAAATGTACTCTTATTAAATTAGTATTATTTATTTTTATCATCTTTTATATACATTTGAAAAACTCACTATAAAAATGCTCCCAAATATTGGCGGTTGTAAAAGGGACATGTCTGAAAACGCTGGTGTATACAATGACTAAGCACTTGACCCTGGATAGTCTTTATTGCAAGGACAGCAGCAGCATGACTCTGCATTTTGATCACCAGCAGAAAAAAAACTCTGCACTGTCAGGACAGAAGTCTGGTACACAGCCAGTCGTTCACTTAATACAGAGAGGGATTTCATCTGCACTGATGGCAGCGTCTCCTACCCAGCGGTAGTAGAGGTCACGGAAGATACTCTTAGCCCCCGGGAAAATACCTGGCAAATGATCATGGTCATTATCAGCGCGGTTATAGTTAAGAGCTGCAGCCCAGAGGTCGTGGTGTTTCTTACTTGTGCATGGTTCCTGCTTCCACGGGCAGAGACGAGAGACGGTTTCCAGACAAGTTCAGCTCTGTGAGCGAGGTGATGTCACACAGGGACAGGGGAAAGTCTGACAGAGCGTTATTTGACAGACTGAGGCTCCTCAGTTTACAAAACCTAGAGAGGGTGAAGGAGAAAGAAGGAGAGCAGGAAGTGGGTGGGGACAGGAAGAAAAGGGCAGACAAAGAGGGACACACATATTAATCTCTTAGTGCTATAAGACTTGAATTGAATTGAGGGTCTAAAAAAAACAAACATTGTGAGATCTTACATAACACCCTTCCTCGAGGAAAATTGCAACAGGAAGCATGGATACAGCACTTGCAGTACACGTACTATTTAAAGCTAAGTGTTTACACGACTGAAATATGTCACCGTAACAATGCAGCATGAGGATCAGGTAGATGTGTTTGTGTGTGTTTAACCTAATCCAGTTCCGAGAGGGGTCGGGGTGAAAGGCTAAGCCGGACCTACATCCTTCCGAGGGAAAGTCATACACACGCCACAGGAAGAACACATTCCTTAAAAAACCACCGCCTGGGAAGCGAGTGTTTACCGCAGAACAATGGCAGTGTATATACAGTATAGGTGTTCATTGTAATCAATGTAATGCAAATCTAATCTGGCAAAAAAGGAGCACAAATCAAAAGTGACAGGGTATGTAGGGTAAGTATTGGATAAGAAGCCTGACTTTTTAATGGAGAAACAAAACTTAAATGTATGTGAAAACACACAGGATTTACAGTCCTGTAATAAACTCATTGACTGTATTAGGCTGACACAATGAAACTGACATAGCTTTCCAGTGATTTAGCTAGAAAGCTGTTAAATCAGGGTAATGCCACAATCAGGATTTAGGAAGCTCTGCCATATGCTTTTTAAGTCAAAACACAACACCACTCGTCTCTTGCTGCCATAGAGGAGGATAAATGTGCAGAGAAACACAGACTTCCTCTTTAAATGACAATTCTGTTTTTCTTGTCGACAAATACAATGAATAGACCAGAACCAACAATAAACTGATCCTACAAACACGTACAAATCCTGCATAATCTGGCCAACTGCCACAAATACTCACAGCCAAATGTGTATTAATGCACATGCATGGTAAACAAAGCAATTATGAATGACCAGTGTTTAAAGATTATTGAAGACTATTTATCTTCAGTGGAAAACAATGGCACTATGGATCGAGTGCTTTAGACAAGTAGATAAGTCAATATATATTCTTGAAAAATAACAGAGCACAATATTGAATGTTTACTTGAGTATGTTTGATAGGGCACCTTTTTCGCTGCACTTAACTTAAGTCTTTCCTGTAGTGTGTTATATTTAGGCTTTTGTGCATGTAAATTGTCTGCAAAGGCTAAAATCCAAAATGTTCCCCAAGTGGGGGTTCTATTTGTTTACTTTCCTAAAACAATGACATTCATGCGTAACTTTCACGCTTCTATTGGCTAGCGCACCAACACATCGTATGTGATAGATATGTCCCGCCCCTTAGCCTAAGCGGTTGACAAATCACAACGAAGCTGGCCAGCTAACCAATCAGAGCATTGGTTTCAGACAGAGGGTGAAAAGAGGTGCTGCAGCACAGGCAGTATGAGAAAAATAAAGAGCTTTTGGAACATTAAAGGCACAAAATACAATTATGAAACTTGAACATTTGCATGATAGGGCCCCTTTAACACTGGCACTAGTTTACCTCCCCTGAGCTCCTTAAAGAAACCGTGCTGTACCACTGGCACTAGTTTACCTCCCCTGAGCTCCTTAAAGAAACCGTGCTGTACCACTGGCACTAGTTTACCTCCCCTGAGCTCCTTAAAGAAACCGTGCTGTACCACTGGCACTAGTTTACCTCCCCTGAGCTCCTTAAAGAAACCGTGCTGTACCACTGGTCTAAATCGCAGAAAGGAATGCCGTCTCTTTATGCTTGATAAACATCTTTATAGAGAAAGATATGACAAAGTACCTTTCCTCCGATGAGGGGGAGGATGTGCATCTTGCCGGTGTGGGCATGTTTGACAGATGAGACGATGAGGCAGGTTCCACTCAGTGTGACCTGGCGCCTGGACCAGCGGTTCACCGGCAGCGCCAGCTTCCCTTTGCGCACGTTAAACACCCCCGAAAGCTGCACACGCTCAGAGCCGCCCACGCTGCGAGGCTTGCCTGGATGGAAAGAGAGAACATCGTTTATATGCGACTGAATTAGGTTACTGATGACCGTGAGTGCATTGATCAGTAAAAATACTGATTATTTTTTTTGATAATGGCCTTTTTGCACAAAAAAACATGTTATTTTTAACTGAATGGCATTTTGTGGATATACTCTCTAACACTGTTTTTTTTTTTAAGGGTGAGAGCTGTGTGGTTATATAAGTGATTTGTCTCCAATAGCCTGTGGGCAGTCACTCAGCCGTGATTTGTTGGGTTAACCCCTTGCTGACACACAAAGCAACCGCAGTTCAGTTACAGTAGCGGGGGAAAGCAGATGATTGGCCAGAAGCAGGTGTGGGGTTCCCCTTCTTTACTGCCGTTTTAATAGAGTTAACCAACTGTAACTATGTTTTCTGGGCCGTTGACAGACCTGAATAGGCTTGTTATGTGATGCTTTTAACACCACCACCTTGATCCTAACTGTTGCCTCCCCGAGTGAGGGAGACAAAATGTCACTCAGCTTTCACTGGGAGTAACCAACCCAAACTTAAAACTTATTTTGTTCCAAATAAGAGTTGTTTGTTTAGTTCTCCTTCTTCCTACATCATGATACACTACCCTACCTTCAAGGTTTGGTGGAGACCTAAACCCCGCCTATCATTATTTTATTTCTTTATTAATAAAAAATAATGTTATTATTCAAATTGCAGAATTGTGTAAAAAACATTACACACATCCAAAAAGTCAGAAAAAGAGGACAACTTCCAAGCTACATTTTTCAAAATCATATTTATAACAACTACACCTGTACAGCACTTATACAATTAAGTAATGATTAATTGTTATTATTAAATAATCTGCTGATTATAACCTTCATTATTTATCATTAATCTGTCATTACAAAATGCTAGAAAATTGCGAAATACACCTTTTATTCCAATCATTTCATGAGTTACATGCCAATGTTATGTGATCAACAGTGCTAAAAACGAAATATATAAAATGTACTACTTTAACTAACATTTGAGCAAATGTACATTTTGCATAAAACATTACTGAAAAGGAATTTATCGTTTCAACTTCATTTGTCTTTCAAATATTCGACTGACATCCATATTTTCAGAGTCTGTTGTAGTTATTACCCTCAGCTCGAACATGATCAACATGATGTCGCTAAATATAAAGAAAGCTACTAAAGGAGGAAAAAACATGACAATAAACTAAGATCTGGTGGTTACAAACAAAATTGAGTATCATGACATTGGATGCATATTTAGACAAAGACTTCGTGTGTATTTTCACCCATTTTTAACAACAGTCAGTCAGTGATAATATGATCGGATAAATGTGACGTTAACTCAGGGATAGAGGAGATCAGCGGGAATTCACACCCCGTTTTAATCTAAACAATAATGCGGAATGTGTATTGTGCGGGTCCACCCTTCCCTGGGCGGTGCAGGCCAGACATAGTGTGTAAATATACACACACACATGCCCTTTCCTTCCGTCTATTCCTCTGACTGGGGAACATCCTGACTCTCATCAAGCCGCCAATAGCCATTTCCTGTTTGCGCTACAACTTTTGGTGCATCTTGTCCATAAGGGCAACGACCATTCCCGTTCATGTTTCTTATTCACGACGGCTAAAAGAGTGTATTTTATATTCAAGCTTAATGTAAAGCAGCAACTCACTTCTTAAACCACAGACTGCTGGTGTTGTGCTGTTCACACCACAAAGAAAAAGTAAGAAGCCTGCATGTATTTTGTGAGTTTTGAGCACAAGCTTGTTGGTTGCTGGGTTTTCACCTTGGGAGAAACGCAGTGACCTTCTGGGTACTGCAGATCTGCGCTGAAGAGGAGCCTGCTGCTGCCACGGTCTCAGAGAGATCCGAAACACTGAGGAGGTGAAATCCGAGTTCCACTAAGGTCACTTTTTTCTTACTGTCAGCACAGTCTGTGTGTGTGGTAGTGTGTGTGTGAGATAGAGAAAGAGAAAGAGAATACGTGGTAGTGTACATTCAGAGGGATAGTGCTGAGTCAATCTCCTAAAGTTCCGCACATCAATATTAACAAACAAATCAAACTTTACACAGGACAGGACATTGTGTAGCAAAAGTATTTTCCTGTGTATTGCCCTTTTTAAAAAAAAATTATCATAACTAGGGCTGGGCTACGTGAGGAAAATCCTCAAAATATCACCAAAACACCAAATACCACAATATGACAATATTGTAGGGTTGGCCATAGATGCGGAATATTTACACAATGACAATTCTGATAAATAATCCTTAGTAATGTAGATTTCATGAGCAGGCACAGGAAATAATAGAACTGCTAGAAAAGAGAGGTACAACATGACGTCACTTGACTGTAAAGCAGCCTTTGAAACCAGGAAATTACATTTATGTGATATACCCAAAATATAACATGTTGTCTACTCTCAAATCACAATGTCGATATTATATCAATATACATTTTTCCAATTTAACTTCAAATTCCTCCTTTCAACACCATTATGAAAGTCACTTCCTATCGTACCACCATCTCTATAAGGAAATTGTCCCTGTCACGCCAGAAACACGTCCACTTCCCTGTCATGCCACCCTTCACTGCTTGTTTGACGGCTGTGTGTTCGTCTGCAATGGCTGGAAGGGACCCTGCTTTCAGCGGCCTCACTCTACGTCATGCTTTGTTCCTCTGTCATGTTACTCTCACTGTGGGAGTCAAGGGACGGGGGGGTGTAGGAGAAGGCAGGGGAATTTGCTCAGCCCCCCGTGTAAAAATACAGGATAAAGAGAAAGCTTGTTGTGTACTGTGTCTTGAGTATACCTCATGGTATGTGTTGTAAAAGTATCTCATGTGTGTTGCTTGTGTTAAAAATAAATGTAACAAAGGAACAAGTGTTCTTGAATACTCTTGACAGAGCCTTTAAACCGGATTTAGACTGCAAGTTCAAAACAATATATACATTTTGGTAAACAAATATTTGCAGGCTTTTCCTCCGACATCACACCGCGCCTCTTTATCCCCACCGTTTTAACCAATGGTGTAGGAACAAGGTCAAAAAGAAAAATCCAGTTGTGCTAATCCCATAAGAGATCATGGCTGTTTTTCCATCCTCTTACCCGGCTTGTCAGCAAAACAGGATCTTTACCAAAAACAACAACATCAACAGAAGAAGAGAAACAGTAAGCAGAATGCCTCATGATCGCAGGGCCCAAAGAGCACACCTGCTACCTCCAGATGTGTCTCCCAGAGGGGGTGGGTGGGTTTACAGCCAAAACACTGCGTATTGTCCCGCCCCGGACAATTGAATACACTTTTTTAACAGTCCGACTGACCAAACACAATGACAGCGCTCACGGTACACTGAGAATGGACGGACAATGAATGAGCCGCGACAAGCCGAGCACAACTAAAGTAGCATGGGGCAACAAGCAGCTAGTGGCTCAGTGATGCAGTGTCATTGGAAAAGAAAGCTTACAAATAAAGTCCAGGCTGTGTAATCAACATACATTCATAACGCATAGAGCTGGGATATATTGATATCAAGATAATGTTTATCTTGATATCAAGGGTTAGAGTTGGATTCAAATATTATCCTTTGTAATTTTTTTGTCTTTTTACAATTAGGAAATGACATATCCAAATCCTGATGCCCATTTATAAAAACATTTCAGTCAAGTGTAAAAATGTTTGCGAAATCACAGATTTTAGACCCTGCAATTTTGGCAAAATGTCAATATTGAGGTATGAAACATATTGATATTTGATTTTCTCAATATCAAAGAGGCCCTAGGTACATGCCCTGCAGATCTGTCTTTAGGTGTAATCCAATAGTGTAACATGTTTTGTATTTTTACTTAGACACAGTACTCACCAAAATAGAAGCGAATCAGGCAGCCAATTTCAGGATTCATGCTCTCCCCTTGCACCCTCCATGCCTCTTCAAACCCCAGATTAGTGAGGTACTCATTTAATATCTGAAGTGGCTTCTCATCGTCCCCCAGCCTCCGCACAGCTCCACCGTGCAGCTGGGCGAAGAGAGCCGGGGTCGGGGTAGTATTGATGGTCTCTGGCCATACTCTGCACCCCCCAGGGACCTCCGGGTCAGGCTGGGCAGATGCTTGGCTGGACAGGGGCCGAGTCTGAGAGCTGCTGGGACATTTAGAGGGAGCTTTGATTAATTTGGCGGTATCTACATTATCACCACCTCCAGATGGGGGCTCATCTACTGTGGTTGGGTTGGAAGTACTGCAGGGGTATGTGGTAGGCAGGTCCTCTTGCTGGTCTGCAGCAGAGTTACCAGCTGAATGTGTTGGAGAGGAGGTGAGGTCTACTTCATCTGAGGAGCTCTCAAACGGGTCAGGTCCCTCTGTGGCACTGTCTCCTGTGGGGCTCAACACCGAGGAGTCTGTGCCCAAACCCAGCCCATCACTGAGCGAGTCCCGGTGCTCTGTGCTCCTGGGTCCACCTGGGCTGAAGTCCTCACAGGTGCTGCTCTCCATATCGGATCCAGAGTAGACTCCATAACAGTCTCCCACACTCTGGCTCAAATCTATACCAATGTCATTCATATAGACCTCAGAGGAAGAGTTACTGGCGGTGTTATCATCCAACAAGTTAGAGGAAAGTTTAGCATCAGGATAATAATGTTGTTTGTGTTCATTCTCCCCTGCGTTGAGGTTTTTGACATCGTGTGCATCTGTGTGTCCATTACTAGCTTTGCAATAATCATTTAAGTCAACTAAAGCAGCAGTTTTAAAGTTAATTCTCAACACAGCCCCAGCTTTGCTTCCCTCCAGCTTACTGGCTAATTCTGCAGCAGTAGTGTCCACAGTGCAGAGCACCGGCCGCGGGTAGGAGGGCGTGAGCCAGTCGTGGACGTGAATGCAACCTCTCCGGAGGTCCGACCTCACCCATGTCTTATCCGAGGCCTGGAGCTGCTTTGACTGTTTCTGCCGAAGAAAAGTCTTTCTATCTAGGCTTAGTGTGCTCAGGGGCGAGACTGAGGGAGCGGGACTCACCGCCTCCGCTGAGGACCCCCCGGGAGAGGTGCTGGTCGGCGGAGCCCCCAGCGACAGATTCCTCTTGTGTCTCTGCCGCCTCCTGCCCAGCAAAGAGTTAACAGAAGTGGTGCTGTTGGCTGATGTCAGGCTGTAAATGTTGGCTGTTTTCACGATGGGGATGTTCATATTTTTGGCTGCACCGCCGATAGCGTTGGCAACTTGGTTTTGATAGATCCCATTCCTTATCGCAATCTGGAGAAGGGAGGTGGCTGCCAGCCCCTTCCCGAAGAGTTTCGCTTCTGCGCCCCCACCGTCACTATCCTCCCCGATTGAGGGTCTCTTTCCCGGTGTTAATCCACTTGGCTTCACGGAATTACTGTCACCGCTAGAGTCGGATACCCCCTGTGGTGTTGACGGAGATGAAAGCGTCCCACACTCGTTTTCCTTCACACTTTCCATCCTGTTAGCTAGCAACGGCGACGCCAGTTGGTTAGCAAGAACAGCCTGCAGGTGACTGCTAGCCTCCGTTAGCTCACAGCCGTTAGCTCGCTCTAGTTATGGGCTTGTTTCTCCTGGCAAATGTGTGTACAGCTCCACGTTAGCTTAGCACGGCTAAAGTACTACGAGGTCCCGCTACATCATCCCATTTCGTAACATGCCCGTTAGCTCTCCTGGAGGAGCTAACAGGCTGGTCGATCTGAGAAAAACGCCTTTTCTAGTTTGTCGCCATGGAAGCTCGGCGAGTAAGCGCGACTGCAGCGAACTGTACAGAGTAGACATATGAGGTGACGGTCAACAGTACACGGTGGACAGGGCGGGGTCTCATTGGATATGAATTATGACACCTTCAAGTGCCTTGGAATGCTCGGAATTTGTAAATTTAGGGACTGCCCTACCCCTTTTCAACGTGGTTTGGTGAAAAAACTGTGAAAGGGCAGTTTTTCAGTTATTTGAGCTGGAGCAATCTTTGAATAACAACTTCTGATTTTTTTCTCCATTCATCAAAAGTTTGTTTGATTTATAAAAACTACGGACAAAATAGTGAGAAAAATAAAACCTTCTCATTGCTTTGTTTTGTCTAACCACTTACTTCAGTATTATTTGAAGGAATCACTATGTTTAAACTAAGCCTTATTATGTTTATTTAAGGAAATGCATTAAAAAGGCTATTACATATGAAATAAATAATCAATCATCAAAATGATCAATTTGTAATTTATGTAATTCGACTTTACATTTTCAAAGCTCTTCATACATTTTGAATGCATTGCAAACATATTGATTTCGTGAGTGAATAGTAACTAATGCTATCAAATAAATGAAGGAATGTGAACAGCAAGATATGACATACTGTATATACAATATCTACTTTTGATATTCCAATAAATATAACTAAAAGAAAACGCCACAGGATCCTCGTAAATTACGAAGTACGAGCTTTAACGAGCCAGTGAAGGCAACACAAAGTACTGCATGGTTTAAGGAAACAGGGGATATCTGCAACTCGTCTTCTGGCGCCACCTAGTGGGATATATGCCCAATCACCTTGTCGACCTGTAATAGTATCATTATCTTGTTATTTAGTCATCAGATCCTTTTCTTGTTATAGAAAAATGAAAACAAAACCAGACTATATGAAAATACTAGGATGTCGTAAGTGGAAGTATCAGTGTTACATTAATATGTATTAATCATTTATCATTAGTGATGTAAAACACACTTTCATATCGTAGAGGGCCAAAGTAAAGCACGTTTATATTGTAGTTGAATCATAGCCATATATTTTACCCCCTTTCTAAAAAAAATCTAAATCCACATATTTGTACATTTCCCATGCAGTTAGATTGACGTATGAAGTAACAACTTTTTAATTTGTATTGTACAATGCCATGTCTTTTATGCTGCTGCTGCAACACAAAAAATCCCAAATTGGGATCAATTGAGTACTATCTTATCTTATTGTAACCTATTGAAACACTTAAGTATGTTAAATTGTACGTGCTCAGTTACATTCCACAGCTGTTAGTTAGCACCGTAATATAATAAATAAGGTTTATGATTCCAAATAGTTCTTCCTTATCAGATGAGGAACTGAGTGTGCTTGAAATTAAAAAATTGATCAAATGTTTGTGTTTCCAGGCTTCACCTTAATCCGCTACTGTATGTGCTAAAGAGTGTTTTTAATAGAGGATTTCAGGATGTTATAACTGTCTCAGCCTTTTTCACTTTCACATGCACACCAGAGTAAAGTGCTGTCACATCATTGCAGTCCAACAGAGGGCAAAGTGCAAGTTGCAGTGTGACTGTATGGTTTATCATGCTTTCTCTCTACCTCCCTCCCCCTGTCAAGTCTCCACCTTATTTTCTCCACCAGTCAGACTTTCACTCATCAGACTTCATACAGCTGTGATTTTCTTGTTCTGTGACACCAGTAAAGGTAAGACCCCTTCCTGTTATCTCAAATGTTTATTTATCACTTTTTCAGCTGGTTTTATGTAGGATTTATATATCTTACCGGACCCTGAAGCTGGTTCCAATGTTATTTTATACCACCACTTTCAGTTAACAAAAGAACATGTGATGGATGGTAAATCTCAGGGGGATTAATAGTGAAAAGTGCCTCCCTACACATACACTAAGAGGGAGGGGATTAGCCTACTGACACGCTAAAACACTGAGCCGCAGGAGACGTGTTTTCCACTGGGATTCACTTTAAGAGGTTATTAAAAGTCTTAAGAGCCTTGTGAAAAACCTTGCCGGCGGGGGTGTGATAATCTGGTTTATATTACTAATGCAAATGTCTTGAATTAAGTGACATGAATTTGATTCTTATTAGATGGAGAACTGATTGATTGAGATATCTTTGAAACAAGTAGAATAAGATGTAATTAGCTTACCCAACTGGCGGATTTAAGTGCATGTATTTATTACGATGTATGGTAAATCAATAAGGAGTCTCTGTAGGGATTAGATGGGCTAACAGGAGATACTTTTACTGCACTTATACAAATCATTCATGGAAGGAAGGAAGGAAGGAAGGGGAAGAGGTTCTAAATGGAGAAGAAATTTAGCTCAAACACTTTCAATTTCAAATAATCTGTCAGTTAAATGAACCCCAATAGCTCTATTCCTGCTGCGTTTAAGAGGGAAGAGGATGCCGAAAAGAGAAAATAAAGAAACAAAGATGGCTCATCCATTTCAGAATGCCTTCTTTTAAATTGGGAAATAGAGACTATAATTAGATGTGGCAAGTTCAAGCTCAAGGACTTTGCTAAGCAGCTATTCCTATAGCAACGTCTGTGTGTGTGTGTGTCCGCGTGTGTGTACATGTGCGGTTTAAGTCAGTCACTTCCGTTTGTTTTGGTTCCTAAGGCGGAGCAACGACAAATTTAGATTGCAGCATGTCTAGAAATATTGAGAAAACAGAGCAGAAATACATAATTGGAGAGTAGTCGCTCATTAAGTGTGTTTGCCCAGCCCTGTCAACTGTGTCAGCAAGCACACATCACACACCCTCAGAAACACGAGTATACAGGGGGAGCGTATGTTTGGACTGAAAAATATTTTTTTCACACGTGTCGTGGGTCCCACATGTGTTCCATTTAAAACACACTATGGGTAGTTGGCACACATTTTGCTTCAGGGCGCCCCAAACTGGGAAGCTAGTGAGGCACTGGGTGTTTGTGATAAAATATATATTTCACTTTGTATTTATTCCAAAAATGAGATGAAATGAAAACAAATGTAGCTTTATGATTTTCAGAATATTCCCCTATGACTCAACCACTGTTTATGGGTATGTTTTGGTCGCTAAGGGTACAGTATAAGCTGTATTTTTAACTTGAAAGGTACACATTGGGGCAAAACAGGGCACTTTTGTACAAGGTACTGCCACTGAACCACTTTGCTGTGAGCCTTGTTCTGAGAACTTGTAATGCATGATGAGTTCAATTAAAGAAAAACATTTCAAGTTAAAAACTTAATTTGTGGATGCAGTAAAAGAAATGGGCCATTTAAAAACACACACGCACACACGCACGCACGCACGCACGCACGCACGCACGCACGCACGCACGCACACACACACACACACACACACACACACACACACACACACACACACACACACACACACACACACACACACACACACACACACACACACACATCCAAGTTCAAACATCCAAAATGAATAAAAGGACCTACAAAAAACCCCTGCAATGGGTTAATAACTAGTATAACTTGAATGTATGAGACTTCAACAAAATAGAATTGAATAGATAAGTTAAAGTAGATGAGTAAAGATCTGACCCTTTATGCTCAATATGATTTAAGTTGTGTCATAACATAACAACTACGGTGTAATTGTGTAATAATGTATGAACACATTAGATCCCAGGTTCCTCCAAATTGCAATTTTATAATGTATTTAGTGCCTTTATTAAAGTGACAGTGTTATAAGGGGAAGTAGGTGACAAATGATCCCAAGCTGGTTTTCAACCTGGTTCCTCCGCATGGGTACCAAGCCCCAGTACACAGGCTGCCAGCTCTTCCTACTGAGCTATATGGTGGCATTCATTTTACTTTTCTTACTGATTCATAATTTCTTCTATGGAATAGAGATCAATACCTCTCGTGATACTGTGGACATCAGACCAACCTGTCTTGCTTTATTATTCCTGCCAATAAACATGGCCAGTTTTGGTTCATTAGACTCAATGGACCACTACTATAATAATTATGCTCATATTAAAAGAATAATAGTGGGGTTTGACAGAAACTGAGGAGACGGGATTGAACCGGAGGTACAGTGTGTTTTCAGTCATGCTGCAGTGTTTCTCAGGAGGTTATTCTTGCTCTGGTGGAAATGGTTGTATCACTGTTTACTCTGCTGAGGTCACATGGTCAGGGTGAAGGCGAGGTTAACCACAGCTTTTTGTAAACTCGTTTGTTGATCTCACTCCTTTAGACATGAGCTAACATGCATGTCATCGTCCTGGTCCATCGCTAATACTGATCCCAGATACAACAGAGTCGTACTCTCCATGGTTTACAGCATTATGTGGTCAGTCAGATTTTTAACTTAAAGGTCCCATGTCATGCTTTTCCGGTTATTACCCGTCCCCTTGTGTGTTATGAAGGTTTTTATGCATGTAAACCAGGGGTGGGGAACCTCCAGCCCCCGAGCCGTATACGGCCCACGAGACCATTTGATACGGCCCTCGAGGCAGGGGCGGTTCTAGGGGGGGCACGGCATTCAGCAAGAGAACGCGTCATACGCATGCCTCGAGTAGACGATACTTAGGGCGACCGCGACATAGAGGTATCCCTTTAGGAGCTTTGTACGCTTCCTAGTCACAGGCCAGGGTACAGTCGAAAGGGAATCGTTCTGCGGTCCGCACGAATTTGTGGAGCAAGAATAAGCGACGGTAGTACTCTTTTGCTACGTACTATACGGCGCCTCCACGGTCCCAGGCCCTACCCTGCGTCGCGCCGCCACCCGTGCGAGAAGAGTCCACGCCCCTAAAACCAGTGAGTCGAAAGTCCTTCAAAGCCTCTTAACATAGGTCACACCCCTCAAAGGTGGCCGAAGAAATGGAGCCGCTCCGGACGATCCTACTCTAATGAGAGGCTGAAGATCGAAGTCTAGGTCGTAAATGGGACCTCCCGAAATTGTAAAAACCTGTTTAGGGGGTAACAGAAGGGAACCCCTTAACCCGAACTATCGGAGATAGAGCGATTACGCGAAGAGACGCACAGAATAAGAACTCTTCACCGGAATCTCAGAAAGAAATTAACTTGTTATCGGA